TTTATATCTCTCTCATGTTAACTTTATCAGAAGTTTTACGCCAAAAGAATTCTCCAAATTTTCAAAAAAGTTTTAATATCAATTGCATGATGATGTCACTTCCGAGATAAAGTCTAATTAATATATTCTCTATCGAAATATCATAGATTTGTGAATCAGTTATCGTCATAAGGGAATAAATTCCACTTGAGGACGGGTAACCTGTGCTAAAACATAACTCTGCTCATTACTCGTCAAAACAATCTCCACATGCGCTTATCGACATCATTGACATTCGTATTAGATTATTCATCAGGGATGTATGTCGAGCTGCTGTATTAATAAATTAGAGCGAATGTTTAATTTGACTTATGTGCGATTTTTCTTTCGTTGGTCCATATTCTTAAAAGTTCTTAACTCTTTTGAGCCCGTTTCGAATCGATAGCTAAATTTTTTTTTGTTACTGTAGTTTTACGATTTTTCATCATCAATGAGCAATCGTTTCAAAATAGGATCAGTGTTAGTTTGCTTGGCATACAAATTGCAAATTGTTTACTTCTTACGCTAACCGGATGCGCTTCGTGTGATTAGATTTCAAATGACTTTTCAGTGTTGTATAAGTTACATGCAAACTTTCTCTACCCCCTTTAAACAGTTATATCACTGTTACTATATATAACTATCATCAATTTCAATTGATCGAGGAAAAGTTTGGCTCACTTCAGTGTTTTTTGAGCATAATAACTCGGTCAATAAGTCTCAAGACCAAGCAAAAAAAAATTAATTTTTTCACAATTCCAGTTCATTCATTAATGTAATCTGCTTCAAGAGTGATTCTCGTAAATTTCGGTACTGTTTTAATAGAAAAATTCGTCGAGATCTAAGCAGCCGCAAGGTGAACAGTTGCTCCAACGATCTTATCATTTGACCCAAATATTTAATTATTCTTAGAGTATTATTTTGAGATTTGCCAACGGATAGTAATCGGTAGGGCCCAGTTGGGAAGAACACGTTGTTTGAGGCAGCAGCACATTGAAGTTTTCGTTCAACTATGCGTAAATGCTGTACGCATTAGGAATGCAGTTTACTCACGATCATTATGATATTGTCCGAGTCAGAAGCACTTGCAGAGCCGCCCTTTAAGTCGACTTGAGCTTGACCATGTGTCCTTACCTCCTCGTCCGTCTTGTCTTTTTGTGTTCAGCAAACAGGTCAAAATTTTTGGAATATTTCGATGAATTTGAATTTTCGCCCAATAACGAACGGTATTGAAAATGGTTTGGATCGGACGGCTTTCTCGACATTCCCTCTCATAGAGCCTTATTTTAAAAACGCGTGAAATGAATAACTATATCAAACGAGCGGCATAGTCGTAAGCAGCACAACTCTTCAAAAGCATTTTTGCGAGCGGAAATCAGAAATAATAATCATTACGAGCGTTTTAAAGCGCTCTATATGAGACACACATTTAAGATAAGCCAGTGAGCGTTAGTTTTAATGAATTCCTAAATTGTTATCATAAATCATCAGTTTGTTCGTTTTCGATCAAATAATTTTTTACTAAACGATACAAAAATATTTTATTAAATGATTGCAATACAAAACAAGTAAAAGCTCTAACACCCTACGGATCTAACGACGTAACGACATTGCAAAAAGAAATGGTTATATAGGGAAGCGGTCGGAAAAGTAGTCCGATTCGAGCCATATTCAGTGACGTTCGTTCTTGGATCGAAACATATCACTGTATCGAATTTCATCAATATATATCTCAAAAATTGCGGCCGGGCAAATGGACACACGGACAGATGGACAGACAAGAAAGTGATTGTGCATCGATCGGTTTAATAAATCGTGGGTCTATATTAAATCCTTCTGAGTGTTGCATACCTCTGCATATGGTCTTGTATCGCAAGTGTTGTAAAGTAGAAAAATTAACTTTGAATTTGACGTAAACAATATAATTCTACAAAGTCGCGTTAAATTATCATTGCATTTGTAATACATAAACACTTACTTCATACATTATCTCCAAGTTTACAAAGCCCTTTTGGTAATTGTGGCAAAATGAGCGCAAAAAGCTAAACCCATATCCAAGTGCTCTTAGTTAATTGGGTTGCATTACGATTAACCATAAAGTAAATCAATCCGTCAGCACTCTTCGTATAGAACAAACACTGATGTGGAAAGTGAAGAAAAAAATTAGTTAAAGTCTAAAAGTAAATTTAAAATTTCTGATCAACTAACTCCAAGGCTTATATATTAAATAATTTAACTTAGTTTCAGGAACACCGGCACATTCCTGTGTACAAGTTCAGGAATTCCTCTTCGGGATGCACGCATCAATAACGACAAAATCAAGATTGAAGATTTTTATTACCTTCAGGCGATACTGAATTGATTTTGACTGAGTTTCATTTACTATAATTTTAAAAAGTAAATTGTTTTCATGTATGCATGTAAAAGTGTATGTGAAAGTGAAAAGTGAATCAAATTATCCCTCCACTTAAATATGTACAGGAAATTAAATTTAATTTTCCCTAATTTTTTATAAACGACCCCTTTTTTATACAAATTTTTGTAAACTTTTTGCTATTATTATTATATTTGCTTACATATACTCATACAAACGTTATCGCATAATAATTGAACCGATATTAAACTATCCATGCATATCAAGTACTTGAAGGTATAGGAAAAAAAAAAAACAGTTAACAGCTAAATTATTATGTTTGATTGAGCAAAAATGTCAACAATCGGCAAATATAGTTTTTGTTGTACTTTACGTTCCCATTGCTATATGCATATGGTAAAGCGTTTACATAAATGCGCGTACATGCGTTAAAATTCTATTAGTTTAATTATTAATTTTTAGTGTGAATAAGCATAAAAGCATAAGCATTTCTGAGGTGGAAGTATTTTTGAACACCCCCATCCCCCTCCTCCCACCCCCGCCACCGCCAATAATTTAAAAGAGAAATTTTCCATGTCAATGCGCAAGCGCGAGCTAAAGATTGCCAAAGATTTTGGTTTACGTTTGAGAAGAAATTGCGATTTCAAGTAATTTTCAATTGAACATTTTTGAAACTTGAAAGAAAAAAGAAGCAGTTTTTTATTACAATTTTCTGCACTAATAAGCATTACTTCTCCGATGAACCGGGTGCTTATGCAGACTTTATTAAATTCAATCTCATTTCTGAATGACATAAAGCTAATCTAGCTAAGTCGATAGGTAAGAAAATAAATAAAAAGAAGAGGAAGAGAAGAACTGGAAGTGTTTCTGCCAAATTTAAAGTCGATTCGAAGTTCATTCTTCGGCCGGGAGAACATTTACAACGTACATTAAAGAGACGGACGGAGGGACATGCGTAAATCGATTCAGAATTGGATGCTAATCACGAATATAGTTCCGACAACTTCAACCGATTTGTTAAGCCCCCTCAGTCTTCGGTGATGTCCTACGCAATTAAGTGCTCGATCACGGCCAGAAATAACCCTCTTTTGTTGCGAATTCTGAACATTTCTGCAATCAACCTTAAGTCCAAGATCTGTGGAATTTTCGATACGTATTCTTTTATTGCTCACTACAAGGCGTTTTTAAATAACTTGCAGCTCATCTTGTAATCATTGACTAAGAAGGCGTTTCTTAGGCCTCTACCCGTCTATTCGAACTTTTGCCTGAACTTTCTGAAAACACACGACATGATTTAGATTTTATGCGCTCTCTAATAATCGCTATTAAAAAGGGATACAATCCGGTATAGTGTCATGCTTAGTCGATCGATACCAGAACTTTAAAGCCTCTTATTAATATAGGGACGACCAATTGGCTTAATTGGAATCTTTCTTAAAGTGATACTTTAGACGGCGCCTAGAAACATTTTCATCAGCTTTCAATAAGCATCTATCAAAGATTGAAAGTTACGATTTTTTGAAGGTGTATTTGTATTTGGCCGGGAACTTAACTAGGACGGGTACATATAAAGAAAGGTTTGATGTTTCAGCTCTTTTCAGAAGTTTCGAGAGCGACAAGGAAACGGACAGTTGGACGGTAAATGGACTCAGAACCGATCACTGCGATGGCTGCGATGGCTGCGATGGCGCCAGCGAATATAAGCGCTTAATTCTTACATTACTTTACTTTACTGGTGGCAATCCTAATATAACTAAATGAACCTTTTAACAGGACAGTGACAGCGTGAACATTTCAAGACTTCTTTGAAGTTTCTTCTGTGAAGGGTGGAATAACAAAATCCCCTAAATTTTTATATATTATGAAAGGAACAATGATATTCAGTCTTCTTCTTAGTTATTATTGCTTAAAGAATATATTTAATATAATTATTGCTATTTTGCAGAGAATATGAACAACAGCAGAGAATAGTACAAAAGCGAAACATAGTGCGGAAATAAGTGAATTTAAGGCCTATAGAAATACCAACGTTTTCGATCTACTTTTCGGAAAACGAATATTTGATTCAAGGTATTTTCAAATTTTTCACTTGTTTAATCGTCGCAAAAATGCTGACCCCTCCAACGACAGAGTAAGTAGTTTTTGACAAACGTCACTGATCCAAGTAATCGTTTTAAAAGAGTTTATATGATGGGAAACTTTATTCTAACCTACTCTTACTTGTTTAAGCGCTCTCTGCATCTTTCGCGGCAGAACTTGGTCCTGGCAAGCAGTAGCCCAGCATCCTTAGATGAAAACAAAACTGTGCCAAACTAATAGCATCAGTTTAACTTTGGATTTTGTAGCAACAAGACCGTTTGCTAGGCTGGTTTACAAAGGAAGAAAAAAAATTTGGCAGACAAACAAACAGTAGATTTGTAAAAGTTAAAAAAAAAAAAAAAAAAAAAAAAAAAAAAAAAGATTTTAAAAATATATGATATATTTTAAATAATAATCTTACTAGAAGATCGAAAAAAGGAAGAAACAAGTTATCAAAAAGAAATTATTTCCAATTTCAAAAAGATTCAGAGAAAATCACTTTTTCGTTTTCAAATTCAAATTCAAATATATATGTACATTCAATTCAAATTCAAATATATATGTATAGTAAATGTAGTCGCACATATATATATGTGAGCATATGTAGACGTAGTCCAGCATAAATCATGTGCATTTTATCAAATAGGTCATAAAATATCTTTGAAATGAAATTTGACTTTCCTAGCGTGTGCAGCAGTGGTTAGTTTTTACCCTAACTTATGTGTTTGCCGCATCATATGTACACGCATGTGTCTAGGTTAGAATAACATAAGCAAGTGAGTTAATACAAGCAAACTTGATACTTAAACGGCAGTTACTCAAATTGCGGTATAAAATTAAACAAGTACACACATATAAATTAACATAAGACCACGCGTTTCCGCCGGATATTCATACACAACGTAAAGCATATGAAAGCATATAAAATGTATGTATGTATGTATGAATGAACGTTTATCTGCATATGCATAGGTAAGTTGTTTCGGGTGTTAGTCTATTTTCTCTACTAATTTCTCTTCTTTTTTTTTTTTTTTTTGTACGGAACATAAATATTTGTGTTTTGATTTGTTATGTTGTGTTATGTGTTTTACTTAAGTTTTACTTCAACAACTTGTAGTCACTATTTTTATGCTACAAGCACCAACAAAACTTTTGCATACATGTATAGCATGTATGTAGTAAGTTGAAAATGTAAAAAAAAAAAACAAGAAAAGTTGTTAGTGTTACACTTTTACGATATTTCGAATATTTTATTTTTGCCCTTGTTTTTTTCTTGGTTTCATTCCGACTTGATTATTGCTGTCATAAACAATTTTTAAAAGCATATCTTCATGTTTACGTTATAATATCATTTACCAAGTGACACGATTCTTTTCACAGTTTCTTCTTCTTGGTTTTCTTTCCTTTTTTGGCTTTTTTATTGCAGTTCATAAAACCGATTTTATGAACATAAATTTCGTTAAAAAACAAAAAAAAAAACTAAATAAATACCATAAAGTTAAATGAAAGTCTTCTTAACGGGGCATAATTTTTTCACTTAAATCGTAATAATATTATAAGGATATGTGATATGTACATGTGTATGTAGATAAGTGGAATCCGTTGTGATATGTGATGTAGCTGAAGATATAAAAATTTTTTGCTTTCTTTTTAAACGCTTCGTATTCATCAACATTCAAGGGCAAATACATTAATAAGTTTTTTTTTTTTTTTTTTTTGCTTTCAATAGGACCATGTTGTGAACATTTAATCCCGATTAGGACGGGATTATGAGTCGACTTATTCAAGGCTAAGATTGCGGCTATTGTTCAATTCAAATAAAATGTGTTTCGTTACGCGTGACTCTGTTCGTATCGCACTAAACGCAAACGATCAAGACAGGCAGCGTAAACTTTGTCGTGGACCTAAAGATCTGCTTGCCGTTGCAAACTACATTTTTCTCGCTCGTTGTTGCTCTAGGAAAATGCTTTCTTCATTTTGTTAACTGCCATCAACTGCCTATAAAATATATTAAAAAGAATTTGATTTCGAACCAACTTTTACGATAGAAAAAAAAATCACTTGTTTTTATGGCCTGCTTGCGACAACAATATTTCGCATTAAAGTCTTCGAGGCCATATTTGCTTACCTCCCCTGACACCTTAAACAACGCGAATTCCAATTCTGAGAACCAACTGTTGTTGTTCTCAGATGGAAGAAATTTCCTCAAAGGCCACTTATGGCCTTTACATCTTTTCTTCAGCGCAGCGTAGTTGTACGAAAAGTACAAAAATTCCAGCACTTTGAATACACCTCCTAATTTCAAATACCAACCATTTTGTGGTTCTGATATTTGAAAGACTGAAGTGGGGTGGTCTTAATGGGGCTTCATATGGGGCTTCATAGTAGTAGAAGTAGTAGTAGTAGTATGGTAGAGTCAAGTGAAATCATCCTGAAGAGTAAGCCCGCATAGGCGTATTAATCTAAGGAACTTTAATGGTTTGCTTAGGTCTTTGAACACTTTCCGCTTAAATTGTAAACATTCAAGACTTGGTTTGTCTGATTATTCAAGTATTTGCTTTAGAGGCCAAGGCCAATGGACAAATCCTTCCTAATGTGGCCAAACGTACTAAGACAATGATTGATTTTAATGCGTTCACACTTACGTGCGCACATTTACTATTTGCTATCTAAAATTATTTGAAGTGTTTAAGTGGTTTTCGAAGCCTTTGTGTATCAATTTTTGAATGCGTGTAATCTGCAATGAGACCGTATAAAAAGAATATATGATTGAAAAATATGCACCTGTTTTTAAGATTTTTGAATTGATTTTTACGTAAGACTCTACTATTTTCCAATTTTCGTCTATTTAGACTGATCGTAGCTTTCGTACTATGTGTATGACAGGATAGGTGCGAGCAAGCTAGGGAGAGAGGGGGAGGCAATAAATACTATATATGTAGTAATATAGTAATATAGATAACGATATACTTGATCTGCACCTTTATTGTTTAGTCTTCGAAATGAATGCTCTCTTAATCACCATTAGAAGACGGACGCAATTATGTAATTTCTAGTTGCTTCCAGTTCCCTTTCACAAGTTCTTGCGTGTCCCTTAAGTATTTGTCATACGATACATATCAAGTAAAAGTGAAAATTTTCCAAATTATTACAAATTATTACTTACTACAATCGTTTCGAGAATGAGAAGAAGTTTATAAGAGTTGATGGGAGAAAACAACATGAACAAGATAGATATGTGCATTAAGTGATTTAACTGAATTTCTTATTTTTGCAAAACTTTTATTGCATGTTAATAATGTGAACCATTCATTATATGGCGAGAATTTTTTTCGCTTACTGTTTTTGAAGTAAATACCTTTGCTGATGCATAAAATTCTTGGGAGACGTAATGTAGTGATAAATTCTTTTTTATTTCATCTCAAGCGCGTAATATATTTTTATGCAGCATGTCATGTTATAAACTAGTTGCATAGTCAATAACGGAGAGGTTTTATATTATCTCGTTTCCCATTTAAAAAAAAAAGAAAAAAAAACAAACATTATACGAGATACTTAAAAGTAGCGAGACTACAATTACTTTCTAAAAATATAATTTAATATAATAAAAGTATGATATAACATAACAAGGTGTAGTTATTAACTTCCTGTACGTTTGTTATTTGTAAAGTTATTAAAGTTGTTATAATCTCGCAGATTAGTTCCGTACATATGTAAGACCTTTGAATACCGGGATAGTGGATTAACGATATCATTATCGTTTTTATAGTCTAGTTTAGAGTAAAGAAATTAATTTTAGGACGAAGGTAGTATGAGTACTGGACTAGAAACTAAGACTAACGCTCCTACCCTTTAGTAGGGATACATAAAGTGCTTAGACTAACCATTTAAATAAACTTAAACATTTTATTGAGATTATGTTCTCCAGGCCCTTTCGAGATTTCGTAGAGCTAGACGCGCCGTAAGGGTATCTTTAAATATTGGAAAAGCTGTTTCCGCTATTGCAAATTGAAGGAGTAAATTTCTTAAGTATTCATTGGAACGTGGCAAGGATATGACCAAAGAGGATGCTTGCAAATGTTTCGATCTTCATTTTCTTAATCTTGGTTGGATATCGTCATGAAAAGAGATCAGGATTAAGTTGAGCACACCATTCAATATTGTTTCGAAGTTTTTTGTATCATACTTATGAGGGTCAATCTTTCCCGTTGTGTCATCCATAACTGATGATGCCAGAGCTGTGGATGTGATTGCTACATCTACTTGCAAAGGGACGCATATGACCTCTAGCCTCAAAAGTATTCATTTTGTTTCCGTAACTGGCAATGGTATTCCTTACTTTATTACAGTTGAAATTGAAACGGTTTCAGCTAACCGTTATGGTTAACAAACTATTCATGAGGATAATCGTTTTGAGTTTGGTTTTACAAGCAATATTTATGGCTTGACACGTAGCTATAGATGTGGTTGTAAATGTTGGAGGATATGATTAACCTGGGGTAGAATATGCTTATTCTAAACTTGAACTGCGACCGCTACTACTGCATTGGCAGGGGATAGGTTGTCCCTCTTACAATCGCCTGCAATAGCAAGACTGTAATCGCTGCCTTTCAAAAAGTCAGCTTTCTCTGCGACTACAACTACCTACAGGCTCTTCTTCTTAGCATTGAGCCGTTATGGTACAGTTTCTCCAAATCGTGTTTAAGATCTCTACCAAGTATCGAGAATTAAAACATACGTTTTTAAAGGCGTTCGAGAAGGAAGAGGATGTAACTATAATTCCACATAAGTGCATATACAGAGTTCACAATACAAATGGAATTTTGTATAGAACAGACCTAACTATATATAGAACTGCTTCAATTCTTCTGTGTAGCTGTGCAAACGATGGCAGGTTACTGCTTGACGCTTGGTAAAAGCAATCAAAACTAATCGTAAACACAAGAAATATGTTTTTGTTTGTGTGTTTTGCCGTATACTTTATCTAAATTCAATATAGAGCGCGACAAAGACGCCACTCCTGATATCAAGGCAAGTTATATTTAGGCAAAAACGGGTGAGGACATGCATTTACGTGTAACCGTTTGTTTAGGCAATCGGTTGTAGTACGAATAAAAAATGTATTGTGGTTGCGAAGCTAATCTGAGGAAAATAGCAAGAAAGCCTGTTCCTTTGCAGATGCTTTGAGATCACAATAGAATAGATTCCAAGGCGACACAGAGAATCGGCTGAGTCGGTTTCAAAGAGGATCCATTCATTCGACATATCCAGCGCCCAGCATATAGCGTATGGATGGATTCTGTCGACTAAACATGGCGGTTTGAATTCAAATGTTCAGGACCGGCTTGGTTTATTATTTTTGACTTCGAAAGCTTATGGCGGAATGTAATTGTCTGCTTTTTTTTCCTCATCTTGGTCGAGTACCGAATTCCTAGAGTTGAGCAATTCTCGGATGATTTTCTCCTTTCAATCATGAACGTTAGGATTCAAAGCTGGAAGGCCGATTCCGGCATTAATGTTGTTGATGGGTGAGCTTCACTATTTGGCGATAAAGCGGTTTCAGAATGTTTGTATTCCATTTGTTGTTGTTGTCATATATGCTGATATCATATTTTAAGGTCTTCGCTATCCCCCTTAGTGAGAAATTAAATTCTAAGCAACTTGTATAAACTTTTCCGTTGAAAAGTAAGCGCTGTATAAGGAAGAAACGCTTCGTTAGACCTCTCTTTATGAAAAATCGTTTCGAGAAATGACGGCACACAATTCCTATCTATTTGAAACAAGTGTTTGATTAACAATTGAATCATTTGCGTTCTTCTTTCCATTTCGATTAGTCGCTTATTAGTCAACGGGGTCTGCTCTTCTTTTCACGACAGCACATCAAAACTATAATATATTTCTTCGCCACATTTCGCCACTAATATATGCTTGCGATACACCACTGTACGCATTGTTCGCTAGCTTGGCCCTTC